TAGAACCCCATGAATACCACCATTCGACATACAAAATTTAAGAAATTCTTAATGGGTCACAAAGATTAAATTATTAATAAAATTAATATTAAACTAATATTAGTGATACTATGTGGGTATCATGGATAATGATGCTCTATAATTATTGTTGAAACTAATTAACATAGCCATTTAACTATTTCTCAAGAATATCAAAATGCACCTTATTTTAATATCTTCGATTATTAATTTTGTACAATGAATATACTCTGTTGAATTATGTGACTGAGTTGACAAAAATAAATAAAGTATATGATTTTTTTTATATACTATTGGAGTTCTGAACCTTCGTAATCTCTTCAGTACCCGAAGTCAGTATTCAGATATTCCTGTTTAAAGAACAACCATCCGTATCAAAAGGGATTTGAACATTTAGATTCCGATTTAAAGATATGAAAATATTTATAACAAAATTAAATTTACAACTAAAAAATCCAAACTAGAATGGAGTACTTAAATTCTCTCTGCTTATCAATTATTTATGAGGCAATTACAAAAATGCCACTTTTTGTGTGGATATTTGCAAGAATGCCACTTAGAGGTGTCCATTTACAAAAATGCCACTAATTATAGATTTATAAAGCCTATATCTTAGAATTCTAAACATTAAAAAATATTTTGACACCTAAAACTCCATAAACACTCAAAACTAAACCCTAATAGAACATAATTAACCCAAACATAAATAATATAAAGAAAAAATAATTTTGGAAAAGTGGTATTTTTGTATAGATTTCAAAAGTGTGGTATTTTTGTAAACTGGCACTTGAAAAGTGACATTTTTTTTAATTTCTCATTATTTATATATCTAATGTCTTCTCCTCTAATATTCAGAATCTTGTTCATCCTTGTCTTCTCATTGGTCAAGAAAACAATGGATAATCTCATTTTCTCTCCCTCTTTGACTTCTTTTATGTTCACTTCTACGCAGCAAACTCCGGCCATGGTTTCCTCTTCTCCCGTGGATCAACTTCAGCGGAAACTCCGGTTAGTCGTGGAAACATCACCGGACCAATGGGCTTACGTCATTTTCTGGCAAAATATGACTGATGATCAGTCAGACCGGTCTTACTTGGTTTGGGTTGATGGCCATTTCAGTGGAAACAAGAACAACAAATCCGAAGAAAACGTTCATTTTTCTTTCCCAATTTAATTTTATAATTCAAATATCCAAAAAAATCTTGCATTATATAATAATATTCTACATTTTAAAATCAATAGTAAAATATTATAAACTTTTTCTCACACTTGGTGTTTTTTTTATTGGTTTAAGCATACAAAAAACAGCATAGAGTGTGAGCTGATGATGGACGGTGGAGATTTGGAGTGGTTTTACGCCACATCGTTTCAAAGCGGAGATAAATCGCCAATAATTGAATTTTCCGGCAAATCTTTGGTTTGGTTAACCGGTCCCGAGGAGCTCCGGTTTAGCAACTGCGAGAGGGCTAAAGAAGCCGGTTTTCACGGGGTCCATACATTTGTCTCCATACCCATACAAAACGGCATTATCGAACTTGGTTCGTCTCACACGATTAGACAAAACTCGGACTTTATCCGCCGGGTCAAGTCGATATTCGGGTCAGATAAATCCCCGGAACACGTTAACCAATCCGGTTCTGATCCTAAACCGGTGACATCAGATCATTCAGAAGTCGGAAATCAACAGTCGGAAAGAAAACGGAGAAAGAGAACCGAGAATACGGTTTCGCCGGTTTTGACACACGTGGAGGCGGAGAGGCAGCGGAGAGAAAAGCTAAACCACCGGTTTTACGCATTACGAGCCGCCGTACCAAACGTTTCAAGAATGGACAAAGCGTCGCTCTTATCCGACGCCGTTTCGTACATAGAAATCCTCAAATCCAAGATCGAAGTTCTTGAAACGCAAGTCAAGAGATCCAAAACGACGACGGATAACGATACGTCTCCGTCTTCCGTTGAGCAAGTGAAGCAGAAACCTTTGGAGTCAAACAAAGTCTCTGACTTCGAAGTGCAAGTGAAGATTGTCGGTGAAGAAGCCATGATAAGGGTTGAGTCGGAAAATGTGAATCATCCAACGTTGGCATTGATGAGTGCGTTAATGGAAATGGATTGTCGTGTACAACACGCGAATGCGTCGCGGTTGAGTCAGATTATGGTTCAAGATGCTGTTGTTTTGGTTCCTGACGGATTAAGATCGGAAGATAGGCTTAAGACCACACTTGTTCGAAAGCTAAGATCATTAGACTGGGTAGTCAAGTTTTAATTGGTCTATTTACGTAATAAAATTAATATTGGTTTTTTATTTATTAATGCATGGACTGTTTTATCAAGACTTAACTTGATCTAAAGTACTGCAATCATTCGAAGAAGAAACTGATAGTACAATATTTTTGATTGTTATAAGCATTTTGTTGTCCAAGATAGGAAACACAACGTAATTATGTTATATGTAAGACCAATAATGTTGTTATTTTCGTTTATTTATGAATAATGTGGTTAGATTTTTGGGATGAAATGTTTATACTACTGCTATTCTAGAAGGATTGTCGTTAGTAGTTACAAAGAATCATCACGTGTC